AGGTTAGCCTTCTTGTGAGGATTCCAAGCTGACTTAAATAATGTGGATTCTGGAATCAGCATCACTAACTATAGGCACATCATACCTTTGTGTGGTTATGCAGTGTTCTTTAGGCACATACTTCCCTGTATCTGCTTGAAATGAAAATTAAAATCATTTTCTACAATTTGTCTTCCTTGTCAGAAAACAGGGCCAAGAGCTTTTAAGAAGCAGTGTGGCAGTTCTGAGACTGTGGGATGGATGACATCACCCTTCTGGGGATGATTTCATTTATGCCCTTTCTGGATATATCTGAAAACAAACCCAGCCTTGGGAGGGGGGGAAATATACACACACATGGTGCCTGATGAGTCTTGCCATACTGAAATCTTTACAGACCGATTGGCAGGGTCAAGTGGTCACTGTTCAGAGGGCAACGAGCCCTGGTAACTGGTTCTCAGCCAAGCAGTCACACGTGAGCATTCTTCTATTGAGCTTGCTCCAGTGATCTCTTCTAAACAGCTTGAAATTCCTCAGAATGAGCCCCCCAACTGTCATGGGGGAATGGGCAGCCCAAAGCAGCCCCCAACTCTCCTGGTAAATTGCTCTTTTGAGTGTGGTGAGACAGGAGGCAGTGGGAAGAAAGCTTATTCAAACAAGTTTTGGCTAAAAGGGGTGGGTTATAGGCCCTCAGAATGTCCTAAACTTGTTTCTGGCTGATTTGGCCATCTATTCCAGATGATTTCTTCTAATGCATTACATTGTCTGCTTCTGCTCCCAGTTGTTCAGGGATGGGAGGTTAGTGATCTGGTTTCTGGGCAAGACAAACCTGGGGGACTACGACCAAGAAACTGTGGAGCCATACTTGTCTGCAGACATGTGAGCCAAGATTATGGAGTGGCCCACAGCCTCTGGAAGTGCTCGGTCCTGGAGCTGAGCCCAGGGGAGCCATGAAGGGGGCTGACCAGGAACTTACAGAGTGAAGGGCTGCGTTCTGGGCTGAGCTGTGCTCCCCTAAAAGCCATGTGTTAAACTCCTAACCTCTATTCCCTAGAATGTGACTGTACAGTATTTGGAGACAGGATCTTTAAAGAGGGAAGTTAAGATGAGGTCATACGTGTGGGTCCTAATTCAATGTGACTGGTGTCCTTCTACAAAGGAGTGATCAGGACACAGGCACACAGAGGAAAGATTGTGTGAAGACACAGGAGATGGCCACTTGCAAATCTCTGAAGTCAACCCTTTTGACACCTGGACCAAAGCCTGACTTGCAGCCTTTGGAGCCGTGGGGAAATGAATTTCTGTTGCTTATGCCATCCAGTCTGTGTGGCTGTGTTACAGTAGCCCTAGCAGACTAAGGCAGGGGCTGCCACAAACCGACTTACAGAAGTGGCCCCATGGGAGCCTTCTTCCTGGCTCTGCATCCCCAGAATGAAATTCCTCCACGCAGCTTTTTCCCAGGGCTTTTGCATACATTTTCTTGTCATCATGTTATCCAGTGATGAAGACATGCACTTCTTCATGCTGATGTTAATAATGTCTTCACCTACTAAACGTGTAGAAATTTGTCAGGCCTTCTGTTAGTTACTTATCCAAGCAACTCATATTTTTCTCTTTAAAGTTCACCATGTGAGTCCCTTTCTTTAATCTGTGAATTTAAATTGCTAATGTGCTACTTGTCTAGCTGTTCTTTAGAAAGTGGCATTTGGTGGTGTTTATCTTTTCAACTCAGAAAGGGAAGTGGAGGGATTGTTGAGTTCTTGTTTTTTGGTGTAGTCTTTGAACTCAGTATAGATGAGGAACTGGCTTATGGGACATCAATACACAGGGGCCTTGTATTGAGTTCGACTTGGAATATGGAATATGTCAGAGCACAATTCATTGGCCAACTTATGCTCTTAAGTAAACACAAAAGACAAAAAGAGACAGGAGATGAAAATAATTCAATGGATTAATGTCTCCATGGAGACCAGAAAATGTATACTCTCTATGGAGACCCTCAAAAATCTCTCCTGGAATCATGGCAGTATAGGTTTGTCCTGTTGTAATTGGATATACATTAGGGATGGAGGTAAAGTGATAGGAGGTGGATGGAAGGATGGTCTTTTTCTTCCCTTGGTGACAAGGACAGCTACTGTCACTCTAAGCTTAATCAGTTATGGTATTGTACAGCTCTAAAGTTAGGATTTAGGAAGACCAGGTCGCTAGGATGGGATAAGAAGGCACCTGAGAGGATCTAATGTTTAGAGGCCCTACATGGCTGACATGTTGTTGGCTTTCAAAAAAGGCATGAATGAATGAATGAATGCAAGAGAAGAGCAACTGGGCAGGATCTGATCCTGAACTCAGACCTGCAGCCCAGGGAATGCTGGGTAATGCCTCATAGCACCCGGCAGAGCCAGTAACCCCTGTGTGGCTGCTTTTTCCCTCTTCCCATGAGAATGGTGTTCAGTGGTATAAATATGGACAAAGGGGGAAGTGAAGTTAATGGTGGGAAGGGGTGAACAGGGAAATGGACCAGCTAATGAATGTGTATCACTGTGTCCAGATGTGTGGTATCGGCATAACCTACATGTTCTTAGCCTCACTAGCCTTGGGATACAAAATGAGATGCTGATTATTGTGTATTATTAATTATGCCCCCATGCCATCCATCTGCTGGAAATTATGCCTATTGCAAAGTGATTTCTGAATTTCCCATGGCAGTGCCTTAGAGCACCCAACTTTTCAGCTTGTCTGGAACTTATAGCACTGACTCTGACGTTGAGAGCACTTCTTAGCCTGATGGTCTCCCCTGGCTTGGGCTAGTAGTGGGACTGGACAGATCATCTCTAATTACTGCTGAATCTTGGTATATACACTTCTAGGCTTTTCTGCTTACACATAGTTATAGTCTTATCTTCATATATACAAAGTACAGTAGCTTGAGATCAGAATACTGTGATTATTTTGTACCCTACATTTTCTAACAATATATATTGAACATATTTCTCCACATTACTAAATATGTAACTGTCTAGTGTCAAGTGCTCTACCACTGAGGTACATCTCCAAAATTTTATTTTGATGGACACAGGGTCTCAATAATTTCCCAGACTCGCCTTAAACTTGCAATTTTTTTTGCCTCAGCCTCCTGAGTAGCTGGGATTACAAGCATGTACCACTTTGCCAAAATGAAATACATCTTTTTTAATGACTACAAAATACTCCCCCTATGGGTAATACTATTAACTTAACCTCTGTTTGACTTGTCCTCTATTCCTCGTTCTCCCAGGATTGTGAATATCACTTTGGTATACCTTTTTTTTGGTACCGGGGCTAGAACTCAGGACCTTGTGCTTTAGAGGCAGGCAGCGGAACCACTGAGTTAAATCCCCGGCCCTGCTATACCTTTTAATATACAGTCTTACATATTTCCAGGTTCCTTCCTTAGGATGTTACTTTGGGTAGGACTCAGCTTTTAAGAGTTTAACATTGGGCAGGCATGGGGGCACACGCCTCTAATCCTAGCACTTGAGGGGCTAAGGCAGGAGGATCGCGAGGAGTTCGAGGCCAGGGGGGCTACACAGTGAGTTCAAGGGAACTACAAAGTGAAGCCCTTTCTCAAAAAAACAAGAGCATGAACATTCTAAGGAATCGTGTTTTTGATCGTTGTGCTACTCCTATGTATTCCCTTTTTAGGTTTACAAAGTTTATTTAAGGTTGTAAACTTCTGGGTATTAGGGTTCATGCTTTTCACTCATCACGTTCTTTTCATAGTTCTATTGGGGGCGGCAGGGTTTAAGTGGCCAGTGGCAACCTTGAAGATATTGCAAGGCATCCGGAGGACTCAGGCTTTCCAAGTGAAAGCAGGGATTAAGTTTAGCATCCCACTCCTATAGGATCCAGAACACCCGAGGAAACTGAAGTTCTTGGAGTACTATCAGACCTCGAAGAATAAAGCACTCCTCACCAGGTGGAGGACTTCGAGTCGTCTCCAATAAACACCTGGAGACTCATTTGAGGCGCCTTCCCTCGCACAGCCGTAGCACTCACTAGCTGGGCATTACAATGTTGGAGCGCCGATTCTGAACTTGCAGTCCACTTCCTATTTGCTATGGTACAGAAAGTACTTTCTGGAGGCAGCAGGGACTCACCCCCTTTCCTCGGTCGGTGGAGGGCTGGCCATAAAGGGGAGGCAGAACTGGGTAGCAAGAGCGCCGGGGCCTCGGGAGACGCTGGAAAGAGCGAGGGGGCTGAGGCCAAAGTCTAGACGCGGTTTCCTTCCATTGTCTTCCCATCCTCCCGGCCGCTCCGCACCCTACTTTCCCCTTCTCGCTGCGGGGGTCCCCGCCTGGGTGCAGCCCCTCCCGCCAAGTTTCCAGTGCCCTGCAGCCCAAGCGAGGCTCTTTACAGCCGCCAGAGCCCCGCACACGGCCCGCTCTCTCGGCTTCTCCCTCTCGGTTCTCCCCTTGGGCTGGTTGGAAACTTCACTCACACACCAAAGCTCTGCCCTGGTCTTTCAAAACAGGGCATCGGCTGAGGCCCTGGCGGTGGCCCTCTCAACCCCCAATAGCCTGGCCTGGAGAGGCCGCCCAGAGGCCAGGGGGAGGGGAGAGCAGGGAGGTGCCGGTAGCGTAGGAGTTGGTTGGTGCTCCCCGCTCTTCCGCGGCCCAGATCCGGTCCCCAGCGCGGCTCGGGCCGAAGCCCTGTCCCCCGCCCTTCCCCGCCCTTCCCCGCCCCGCCCGCGCTCCAGGCGCTGGCTGCGGCCTAGCACGTCCGGGCAGCCGCCAGCCTCCTCCGTCGCTCCCTCCCTCCCCCTCCGACTCCGG